TGACTGCGAAGATTTACAAGGGAATGTCACAAAACAGGGTGACTGTGCAACAAAATGGGAGATGAAATTCAACATTGATAAGGGCAAAATAAAGCACGTTGGAAAAAATAATCCCAGTTACTGATACTTATTGATGATGTGGGGCGAGACTCACCGGCGCAGCGCCTTCTGCTGGTCGTCATGGGAATTAGCTCTTTCCAGCCCGGAACACCCTCTGTAGGCCGGTGTCTCGCCTGCCGCTGGCCCCATGTCCCTCCCAGACCCTGGTGTCCTTTGCCAGGGGTTCTGCCCACCACAGTACCCCCTCGTTCTGGGTCTCCCCTCCCAAGGGAACCCCTACCCTCTAAACCCCCTCCAACACCCTGCCCCAGCTCAGAGCCCTCTCCTACACGCCGACCCCCTTGGCCCCAGCTCAGAGACCCCTCCTGCACCCCAAGCCCCTCATCCCCAACCCAGAACCCACCTTGCCTCAGTCGCTACTGCCAGTCATCATCTAGCCCCTGATCAGTATGAGGAGAGATTAAAAAGATGAGGGCTGTTCATTTTAGAAAGGAGATGACTAAGGGGGGATATGATAGAGGTTAATAAAATAATGAATGGTGTGGAAAAAGTGAATAGAGAAGTGTTATTTACCCTTTCCCACAATAATAAAACCATGGGTCACCTGATGAAATTAGACAGCGGGTTAAATACAAACAAGAGGTAGGACTTTTTTTGCACAACTCATAATTAATCTATGGGACTCATTGCCATGGGATTTTGTGAAGGCCAAAATTATAACTGGGTTAAAAAAAAAAAAACGAGATAAGTTTCTGGAAGATAGATCCATCAATGGCTTCTAGCCAAGATGGTCAAGAACATAACCCTATGCTCAGGTGACCCTAAACCTTTGACTGCCAGAAGCCAGGAGGGGAAGACGTGCATGGATCACTCCAACTGTCCTGTTCTGTATGCTTCCCTGAAGTTCTCAAACCTGGCCACTATCTCAGACAGGATACTGGACTAGATGGACCATTGGTCTGACCCAGCATGGCAGTTTTGTTCTTTATTTTTAGCACGTTAGATCGAGCAGAGCTAGTGCATTTGTCTGCCCGGGCCTGGTGGCATGCTCCCAGTTGCAGGGCCAGCATACCCATAGAATGGCCCAGCTTACTGCAGCACAAAAAACATGGGATATGCTCCTAAAGTCCTAGCAACATACACAGGTAAGTACAGCATAAATGAAAACTCAGTGAGTTGAGTAGGGCTTTGCACTGTGGCTGCTCACATCCGGGCTAGGTTATCTTGGGTGCCCAGACCTGGTTGCCTATTCCCTGGGCTAACGCTGCACTGAAGATACACCTTTAGTTAAACTTGTGCAATAAGGCTGTGAAAATACATTCTGAGTTTGATGATTTTATTTGGGTTTAATTTAAATTGATTAGTAGCAGGTATAAACTAAACCAAAACAAGTCATTCTTCAAATGGCTTTTTTTATGATTGTCTACCCACAAGTTTGCACCAGTGTAACTCAATTGGTGCAAACTTGTAGACAATCGTAAAAGTGGAGGAAAAAGTGGTTAATCTGCAGTCATTAATGTGCTGCATGCCCTTCTGGCTAGTGACTACAACTCAACACATATTGATGAAGCTGATGTAACTTTCATATTGTCTTTAAATGCAGGGAACTTTCATTCATTCATATTGAGTACAGTCAATTCTTATTCAGTCATATTTTCATTGCTTTTAAACTTTTATTTCTGAAACTTGTGAAGATGCCCCACTTTTCTTTTTTTTTTCTTTCATGCCTCCTACAGTTCATTTTCATTTGAAAATGGAGTAGGCATTGCTTCTCACCATTTATTTTGAGAACGTTTTACTTCTGTATTGTTTTGCAAATGGTGCAGTCCTCACCTGGCTTTTCATCCTCCCCCATCCAGCCCCTTGCTCCATTTACAGATGGAATGTTCTTATTGTTTGTGAATGGGAGTATAGTTAAGTAACCAGTATTCGGTCTGTCTGAAAGGTGTCTTTGCTCCTGACCTATTTTTCTCTGAATAGAACCTGTAATTGTATATTCTGGTGAAATTCACCATACCATTGTAAGCGCTGTGTGTGGGAGGTTATGTAAAAGATAGAACAAGAAACGAACCTTTTGTAGTTTTTAGTCTTTCATTTCAGCATTAATCTCTTTCCTCTGGGTTGTAAGCAAACATGCTGAATAGCAGGGGTTTCTGATTTAGTGCTTAGCCTGGCACTTCCTTAGCATCTGTAGATAATATGAAAGTGTGAGACAGCATGGAAGTTAGAGATGGAAGTAACTTGATAGGTTATCTAGTTCTTTCCCCTGCCATTTCAGCATTATTCCCTGTAATATACTCCCTGGTGTATACTGTCTAGTGCTTTGTCCAGTCTACGGCTCAAGCAGTGGGGTTTCCACTACTTCCTTTGCCAGACTATTCTGCAGTTTGAGAGATCACTTCTTAGAATTTTTTTGTTCACCCTAAATTTTCCTTAAAAAAAAAATCATAATTTCCATCATGCCTATTTATAATGCTTTCTTGTACCACCTTAAAAAACAACCCATTCTCCTTGGTGTTTGCATCTTTTAAAATATTTGATACAGTTTTGTTCTCTACTTAGTTGTTTATTATCATCATCTATATGGTGCTAATGTTATGCATGATGCCTTAGACGCTGAATATGTATGTGCCAGGATCCCCGGGGTACAATCTGGAACTGTGGGACAACTGTGCCCACTTAACTCTCCAGCCCGGGTTGTCTCTCTCAGTGCTATGCCAGTGATAAGCAGCAAACTTCTCCAGGTGCTGTGATCAGTCAGCCATCAGTATGTGGAGACCTACACCCAGCTAGATTGCATGAATGCTCTCTAAACCCACATGAATTATACAGAGA